GCGCCCGCCCGTTCCGCCCCCGGGCAGAGCTTCTGGGCGGGTGACAATTGCACCCACAGCTGCCTCTGCGACCCCGAGGTGCAGCAGGTTCGGTGTCGGGAAGCCGGGTGTCGCAGAGGCGAACGGTGCGCGGTGGAGAAGGGGGTCACCGGGTGCTACCCCGAGAAGTACCGGACGTGCAGCTCCGGGAGGGACCTGCGTTACGTCACCTTCGACGGGCAGCGCTATGATTTTGGAGGCAGCTGCCTCTACGAGTTCGCTGGGACGTGCGGGGCGAGCGGGGGGCTGGTGGGCTTCCAGGTTTTGGTGCAGAAGAAGGGGCAGGGGCCGCACGGCGCCTCCTTCGCCCGCTCGGTCCAGGTCATCGTCTCCGGGTACAACGTCACCCTCAGTCACGATTTCCCGGGAAGGGCCATGGTGAGGGTGGCCCCACCACGGGGCCTCGATAGGGTTTTGGGGGGGTGACGGGAGGGTGGTGGGGTCCTGATGGGTGTGGGGAAAGGGATGGGGGGACTTGGGGGTGGGAAGGGGCTTGAGTTTGGGTTGAGTTTTGGGTTGGGGTTGAGTTTTGGGCTTGGCTTTGAGGTTGGAGTTGAGTTTTGGGTTGGGGTTGAGTTTTGGGCTTGGCTTTGGGGTTGGGCTTGGCTTTGGGGTTGAGTTTTGGGTTGGGGTTGGGCTTTGGGCTTGGCTTTGGGGTCCTTTGGGGTTGAGTTTTGGGGGTTGGGGTTGTTTTGGGCTTGGCTTTGGGGTTGGGCTTGGCTTTGGGGTTGAGTTTTGGGTTGGGGTTGAGTTTTGGGCTTGGCTTTGGGGTCGGGGTTGAGGTTGGGGTTGAGTTTTGGGCTACGATTGGATTTGGGGTTGGAGTTTGGGTTGGATCGAGGGTGGGGATGGGGCTGAGGCTGAGGTTGAATGAGGATGGGGTCGAGGTTTGGGCTGGATTTGGCCTTGGGTTTGGTGTTGAGGTTGAGATTGGAGTTAGGTCTGAGTTAGGGTTGGGATGTGGACTGGGACTGGGACTGGGACTGGGACTGGGACTGGGATTGATGTTTCAGGTTGATGGGGCTGGCACCGCATTCGGCGTTGGGGTGAGGTCTGAGGTTTGAGTAGAGGGTCGGGGTTGAGACTGGGCTTTGGGTTGGGCTTGGGGATGGGGTTTGAGATGGGGTTAATCTTGGGATTGAGATTAGGGTTTGGGTCAAGGCCAGGCTTAAGGTTGGGGTTGGAGTTGAAGCTGAAGTTGGGTTTCCTGGTTGGGTAGTGAGTGTGGGATTGGGTTTGGGTGGAGACTGGATCTGGGTTGGGCTTGGAGTTGGGGGTTGGTGTTAGGGTTTGGGTTGATCTTGAGGTTCCAGCGGGGGTTAATGCTGGAGGGTGAGGCTGGGGCTGGTTTGGGGGGTGATGGTGGGGCTGGTGTTGAGTTTGGGCTTGAGGCTGGGCTGAGGGTTGGGGTTTGGACTGAGGTTGGGTTTAGGGTTGAAGCTGGATTTGAGGTTTGAGGTAGGGTTGGGCTCGGGGTTGAGGTGGGGGTTTGGGGTTGAGTTTAAAACTGGTCTTTGGGATGGGGTTGGGGTTGGGATTTGGGGTTGAGGTTGGCATTTGGGGTTGGGATTTGGGGTTGAGGTCGGGGTTTGGGGTTGGGATTTGGGGTTGGGATTTGGGGTTGAGGTTGGGGTTTGGGGTTGAGGTTGGGGTTTGGGGTTGGGATTTGGGGTTGGGATTTGGGATTTGGGGTTGGGATTTGGGGTTGGGATGGGGTTTGGGGTTGAGGTTGGGATTTGGGGTTGGGGTTTGCAGTTGAGGTTGGGGTTTGGGGTTGGGACTGGGGTTGAAGTTGGGGTTTGGGGTTGAGGTTGGGGTTTGGGGTTGGGATTTGGGGTTGGGATTTGGGGTTGGGATTTGGGATTTGGGGTTGGGATGGGGTTTGGGGTTGAGGTTGGGATTTGGGGTTGGGGTTTGCAGTTGAGGTTGGGGTTTGGGGTTGGGACTGGGGTTGAAGTTGGGGTTTGGGGTTGAGGTTGGGGTTTGGGGTTGGGATTTGGGGTTGGGATTTGGGGTTGGGATTTGGGATTTGGGGTTGGGATGGGGTTTGGGGTTGAGGTTGGGATTTGGGGTTGGGGTTTGCAGTTGAGGTTCCCCCCCGCAACGAGCCCCCCATAACTCACCCCTGTCCCCTCACAGGTTGATGGTCTCTTGGTCAACCTACCCCACACCCTACTTGAGGGCAAGATCTCCATCGCCCGCCGGGGCTGGGGCACCTTCTTGCTCACCGACTTCCACTTGACCATCTCCTTTGACGGGCAGAGCCACTTGGCTGTCACCGTCCCCAGCACCTACGCCGGGGCTCTCTGCGGCCTCTGCGGCAATTTCGACGGTGACCCCCACAATGACATCCCCAAAGCGGTGACAACGGCGGCGCCAGGTTGCGACGAGCCAACACCACGCCAATGCTCCAGCCGTGCCATCATCGGCCGCAAACAACGGGCCAACGGGGAGGAATGTGGGCTCATCCTGTCAGCCGAGGGGCCGTTCCGGTCTTGTCACCCCCTGGTTGACCCCGAGAGCTATTTCCAGGCTTGCGTCACCGATTACTGCATCTTCCGAGGGCACAAGACCGTCGTCTGCCAGGCGGTGACGGGCTACGCCGCTGCCTGCCAGGAGGCTGGCGTTGTCCTCGAGCCCTGGCGCTCCAAGACCTTCTGCGGTAGGTGGCCTCAGGGGGTTGCCAGGATAGTGGGAGTAGGAAAATCCCTGGATTTGGATCTCTGTCCAAGCTAGTTGGAGTAGGGAAATCCTTGGGGAGTGGTTTCCATCGGAGATGGGGCCAAGAGGGAGATGGGAGCGTCCTTGGAGGAGGAAAATCCCAGATTGGGATCTCCATCCAAGCTAGCTGGAGTAGGAAAATCCTTGGATCATGGTTTCCATCGGAAATGGGGTCAAGAGGGAGATAGGAGCATCCTTGGTGGAGGAAATTCCCAGATTGGGATCTCCATCAGAGCTGGTTGGAGTACGAAAATCCTTGGGGAGTGGTTTCCATCGGAAATGGGGTCAAGAGGGAGATGGGAGCATCCTTGGTGGAGGAAAATCCCAGATTGGGATCTCCATCCAAGCTAGCTGGAGTAGGAAAATCCTTGGATCATGGTTTCCATTGGAAATGGGGTCAAGAGGGAGATGGGAGCATTCTCGGAGGAGGAAATTCCCAGATTGGGATCTCAATCCGAGCTAGTTGGAGTAGAAAAATCCTTGGATGGGGATCTTCATCCAAGTTGGGGGTGGAAAGGGAGATGGGAGCATCCACAGAGCCCGAATGGGGATCTCTACCTGAGGTCATCACAGCGCAAAAATCCCCCCAAAATCTCCGGATTGGGATTTCCATTGGGTTTGGGGTCGAGAAGGAGACGGGGAAGCTCCACGGAGGAGGAAAATCCCAATAGGCACCTCCGTCCTCCAAAAAAACCTCCCTAGAATACGCAAAGTTGAGTAATTTTAGGGACACCACCTTCGTCCCACGCCCCGTCCCCCAATTCCCCCTTTTTCACCCCAAACCGCTGACTGCTCCTCCTGCCCCGCCCCCAGCGCCCGCCTGCCCCCCGCACTCGCACTACGAGCTCAACGGCACCGCTTGCCCCGCCGCGTGCGGCCGCCCCGACAACCCGGAGACCTGCGACCTACCGGGGACCGAGGGGTGTTTCTGCGACGAGGGTTTCCTCCTCAGCGGCGAGCGTTGCGTGCCACCACCCGCCTGCGGTTGTCACCATCGGGGACGTTACTACCACCGGGGAGAGGAGTTTTACGCCGGGGATGGGTGCGCCGAGCGCTGCCGTTGCACGGCGGTGGGGACGGTGGCGTGTTGGGCGGCCCCGTGTCCGCCGG